ATCTTTTTGGTTGATCAGACTGGCCTAACATTAAAAGGAGGAGAGAAGCATGAGATTTTGGAGCACCACAATCTGCCTACTCAGGTTTGAGAATGGGATAGTAGGTTAAGCAAAAAATTGTTAAGAGAAGGAAAAATAGAAGAAGCCAAAGTCTAAAGGCAGAAACAGATGCTATAGATAAACCACTACAAGCATGGTAGTGTTGGAGAGATGTGATTCAGGCAGACACTGGGGTTCAAGAAATCAGACTTCAAGATATCCCATGCTTAAGTTCTGCAGACCAGTGAGAAAACTTCTTGTTGTGTAGTCAGATATTTTCAGCAGTTAAGGAATCCTCTTTTCTAACCATGGATTGTCTACAACATTTGCTTCTGCCCGATGAAAGCAAGAAACAGGTTTAAAAGGAGAAGAAACTAGGTTCAAACAAATAGGAAATGGAGTGATCCAAACCAGAGATGAAAAAAGTTACTTGTTTTGGATTGCAACTCCCACGTTAACCCAATAAGCATAGCTCATGGCCATACCAGGAGGTGTACTTTGGAACCTGTTGTCCAAACAAATAAACTTTACCATCTCTGATGGGCCGGCTCTGTCATTAGGAAACATGTGGTGTCTGCCTCTGATAGCAGATAGGGAATAAAGTTGTTAGTTGTTTGCATTTTTCCCCCAAATCAAAGGCCTTGCATTTTGCACAACTACAATGTTTTTGTGGAACCCTCTCCCAATTTTTGCTAAAGCTACTGCTGGTTTTTTTAAAAAAGTGCTTGCATTTTTGGGTCTTGTGCAGGGAAGAAACCCCCCACCCCCCATTATAATCTTGTTGTAACTGGCCCTTTTTTGAAGGAGTGTCTCATTGTGTCAAGACATACTTAAAAAGAAAAACCCAGAAAACTTGTGAATATTTGGTATATCCTTATTCTGTTCTGGACCTCAACAGAGGGGAAACCCTGACCTCTGAGTGTTCAGCCTGGAGGCAGGCGCTGCATCATAGCCTCTCCCAATTTGTAGAGACCCTTGTCCAGCAGGCCAAGGCCAAGAGGCAGTCCCGAAAGCAGCCAAATCAGGGGACAGATTGGATTTGTCTTCAGTGTGGAAGGGATTGTCACTCTCAAATTGGCCTTCTCAGCCACACTAGATGCTGTTCCAAGTCCTCCATACAGAGCGCATTACCATAGTCTCTCAAGACTGAAGGATGCCTAAAAATGTAGAACCCCAGTCCTTCGGAGCATTGATGGCCAGGAGATTCTGGAAGTCATCAACCAACAAACAAGAAAAACAAAATATTCACTCCCACAAGCTTTGCATAGGAGAATCTCAAGCTGGCCTTTGCTGCTGCCTCTGAAGAAAACATGTAGCACACCATGGATTGTGGTCTCACAGTGAACGTATGTACAATTGTCCCTCTTCCTGGTCAAATCCTAAATATTCTGGCAGGACTGGGTTGGGTTTAGGGAAGCCCTCCAGAGGTAAACTCTATCTCTCTGTGCCTAGAATGGACTAGATCATTCTAATGTATATGAATAATTACTAATTCGAACTGTTTCTGTAATCAAACAGGTGTACAACATATCTAGTTCTGATGTGGACGTCTGTGACCTGTAACCTCTGTGCCTGCTGTTGAAGGCTGGTGGGGAACTACAATGCCCATGTTCCTCCTTCTTATGGTTCGACTTCAGACTGTTCTTTAGATAGATAGACAGTAGAGGACTGTCTTCCATACAACAGGACACTTGGGTATCCGTCCTTCTCGTGGCCATTTCCCCCCACTTGTTAGACCTCTCTTTCCACCAGTGGTAGTGGGGATGAGAAGGCTACCTGTGGTGGTGCATTCAAGGGCATTTGGCCCCTTGGGAACAACCTGAGAAGCACAGTAGAAGCTGACAGAAGATCGGGTGCTGGAGAAGATGAGGATAAAAGGAGATTTAGCTCAGTGGGTTAGGTAGAGTTCGATTCCCCGCTGTGTCTCCTGTGAGTACAGCCAGCCGGTGTGGCCTTTGGGGAAGTTGCGCAATCCCAGGGGAACCCTCAGAAGAAGGGAATGGCCAACCGCTTCTGAGTATTCTCTACCTGGAAAACCCTGGAAAGCGTCAGAATGGACTGGACAGCCCACTGTTATGGTTGTAACAGCTCTCTGCCTGTTGTAAACTGCTTAGGAAAGCCAACTCCTTATACTGCCTTTCTAGGCTTGTCCGGTCTAAGAACCTTTCCATTCTCATATGGGTCAATAATAATAATATTATTATAATCATAATCTTAGAATTGCACAGCTGGAAGGGACCCTATGAATCACGGAGTCCAGCCCCTGTCAAGGAAGACCAGCGGGGAATTGAACTCCTGACCAGATGCCTAAACCACTGAACTATCCAGCAATTCTCTATAAACTTCATGCAGGGGCAATTCTATCACATTCTGTGAGCTCCTCAGCAGCCCTGTTCCTCCCCGTTTTAGGATAAAAACATGTGGAGGCGGAAGAAGGCGGCAGGCAGCAGAGGCAGGCTTTCCCCTAAGTGGTAGCAATAGGGGTGGCCTTCCAAAATCCAGAGACGAGTGTGTCCGGCTTTAGGACCTTTGGTAGTTGTGTGCCCTTTCATCTGAGGCAGCTCTACTGTAAAGCAAAACCGAGCAAAAACCTGCTTCCGTGCTTTTCTTGTATTGATCTAGAGGGTCACAGCTTCCTTGCCCCATAAAGGCCCACCAGACAGAATTTTAGTAAATCCTGGAAGGGGGGGGGATACTTCTTTTTAGAGCAACCTCCGGTGACTTATTTTAATGATGAGTTGATTAGCCAGGCCTTGACCCTGCTAGACGTTGTTCCCACTGCAGTGTCATAGAAGCATTTAGGGTTTATGACAGTCACAACTAGCTTGTCCCCTATTAGCTCTTTTAGTTGAGAGAGGAGAAGTACCCTTTTCAAAAACAGCAATCCATCAATCAGTCAGTCAGTCAATCAATGTGTTGTTCTGTCAGCTAACCAGTCCTTCTTTTCTATATTTTCCTGACAAGAAGTATTGCAATTTTTTTTAAAAAAACAAGCAAGGCTGGACCAAAGGTATTGCAATCGGAGAAATAACGAGACATGCAGATGTAATATAATCATGCATAAGGAACACAAAATGCAGACTGAAATACTTCAGCACAAGCACAGCACAACGCAGATGCAATATAATCATGCATAAGGAACACAAAATGCAGACTGAAATGCTTCAGCACAAGCACAGCACAAACGCCATGTTCACAACACAAACAAGTGAGTTGGTAAATAAGCACATTAATAAATACATCCCCAGTTCCAGAAGGGACTACACAAGAAAGCTGCCCGGCTGTAGATGCAGGCTCTCTCTTCCATACATGTGATTGCTATGAAGCACAAATTCTCAAAGACATCCTGGCAGAATTCGGAGCATGGCTGAAAGGGGTTGGAGATGCCATATTTTCTAATTGCAAACACTTCTTTTCTTTTTAACCTCTTCTCCTTTATTAACAGTGTCTTTATTCAGTGGAAATCTCCATGGGTTTTGGAAAACTTGAACCTTGCGGAAATGTTGGTATCACCTCTATTGATTCGTGGCGTTTTTGAAAACAAAGGGCAGCTTAAAGCTCGTAGCACAGATACTAGGGGTGAGAAAGGTGGTGATTCCATCTCCCAACCTGAAGGCAGAAACTGGAAGACATGGCATAGGGGGAGCATTCCCCACCACCACCCCGCACAGCATATAACAAATAAGGAAGAGGAATGTGCAAGGTGCTAATCCTTAAGCGGTCAACAAAGCTGACTGGTACAAATTTCTGCACGCCAAACTGTCAATGGGCGAACATGCGCAAGCTCTCTATGCAACAAGAAGTCATAATGGGCCATCGAACATAAAGTGGGAAAGGCAGATATGCTGGGAGACGGAACTCCGGAACCGGAATCATTCAATGGGAAATGCTCCATACGGTCATTCCTTTGAGTTCACATTTAAATGCATTTGTAGTACGCAACATTATATAGGGAGATTTTCTTAGGGCCAGTGCAGAGTTAGCACAGTTACCATTAGGTGGATGTACAGTAAATGACAGAAGGAGGATTTTTCCACATGGGAGGTGCAAGGCTGGGGGGGGGAATGGATCATATATCCCCCTAGCTCACTTTCAAACCCTACCTAAGAGCCAATGTCATGTAAGGTTGAGGACAGAGAAGAATGTGGTTGGGCAGAGAAGATCAGCTTGCTACTCTTTCCCAATCAGTGCACCCCTGGCCCTCTTCAAAAAGCTTATTTGAAGAGGACTTCTGGCCTTTCACAAATGTGCTTACTGCACCTTAAGGCCAGAACTGAATTGGATTGCTGTGTTGATGGATGGTGGAGAATGGATAGGGCAACATTCTGTCTCTTCATGCAGCTGCTGCATGGCCTCTGTATGTGCTCTGGACCCCAGGGCAACATTGTGGGTGGCACAGAAGGCTGAAGGGCTGTGGAGGGAGAGCATGAGGACACTGTCTGGGGGAAAAGGCAGGCTTCTCTCTTCCTGGACTGGCTGATGAGGTTTCCTTGGTCAATGCAAGGACTGGCTTGCATCCTGCCCTGAGAATTTACATAGCTTTGAAATAGGAATTTGGATAATGATTGGATGGCTTCCTGCTCTCTCTCTTGCTCTCTCTTTCTGTCTCTCTCTCTCTTTGTGTGTCTGGGTGCCTATGACTGGGGGATTCTGGGATTTTTCCAGGCTCTGGATTAGCTCACAATGGAATCCACTACGAAGCAAACCAGTCAAAGCCCAAGCTACTCCAAGCAAGCAAGGTGATTTCGTAACAGGAAGAGGGAAAGATCAAGAAGGTATTTTGCAACATATGGCATCATGATGGGCTGTTTCATTTACAGGTCGGGATGGAAAGCAAACCAAAGCAAAACAGAACAAAAGAATGAGCGATGTGATCTTCATGACATGCGGGTGGACGTTCACGGATACATGGGCTTCACGATGGATCTTGTTGGAGGGGAGGGGGTTAAATTGAATCTTACCCTCATCCCTTCAAATCGTGAGAGTGCTCTTAAGGGTCTCAGAGCTCTGAGGGTCCTAAGAGATTTAATGGGACCAATTTCGGAGTATCCAAGAGTACTAGCTATGAGGCTTACTAATGACACCTGAATGGAGACAGAAATGGGGGGAAGAAAAGAGTCCACACTATTAGCATAACTCCTACCACGCGTCTTCCGCTCTCTGGATTTGCACCTGAAAAGATAAACTTGGTTAACCAATTGGTGAGGAAAGAGCCTAGGGGAAGGAAAATATCCGATTAACCAGGCAGAGACGAAAGACAAGGAGCAGAAAAGAACCCAGGCAGAGAAAAAATTCTTTCCTTGAACGCTTTGAACCCTTGATTTCCAAAGCAACATGAAATCATACAAAACTTAGGAACTCGAGGTTATGTATACGTATCATTCAGGCTTGGATGCACCCTTTTAAATGGCGCCTGCTTTCCCCAAAGTGGCCACATGGAGTTCTGGTTGCCATCGAAAACGGGCAGAAAAAAAAGCAAATAGTTTCTCATGCTGACCATCGCTCAGAGCTTGGAAAAGTTAAAGTTTTTAGAGGACAAGCCCTACCTGCTCTGGGAGCTGACGTCGCAAAAATGTACCCTTTCCAACCTCTGCGGTGGTTTCAGCCCCACTTCCCCAAAACAAAAGCTGATTTTTAAAAAATGTACGTTTAACTGAACAAAACTGGCAGAGACGTAGGCGTCTCTCCCATTATTAAATTATGCGAACGCTAATTTGGTGCTGTCAAGATGAATCGCACGTATGTTGTGCCAATCCTATACACATCTTGTTACGCTTTTTAAAGAAACAGAACGCTGCCTGTGCCAATTAAATCATCACTCAATGTCAGAATTGTTAACATTGTTGCTTGATCTGTGTTTTTTATGGTAGCCCTCTCTAAAAAAAAAATAATAATAATAATCCGTCTTTAGTTTGGGCTTCATGGAAGATTCATGGCGACCACCATGGGCCACCTTAAGGAAAGACCTGGTGGCAAATTCCCTGCAAGACAGAGAGAGAAGGTATTGGTTAATTCAGATGCACGCATGGCATAAACATGGAAAGATGGCAACCCTTACCCTTATGCTTTCAAATCGGGATAAAGCTCGGAGGGGCCTTAAAGCCCGCAGTGTCCTGAGGGATTTCATAGCTGCCAGGTGGTCATAACCGAGAATAGTTGCTATCTGGCAAATAACTGATATCTGTGCAGATCGAATGGAATTTGAAATTATTGGTCAAAATGAGAAAGGTGGGATACACACACACACAGAGTCACCCACCCACCCCCTAGTGTTTCTGCACAACACGGTTACATTAATTTGATACGATATCCAAAGAATTGGGGGATTCTGATATGCACTTAGGAGACTCTGCTGTACAGTGGTGCCTCGCTTAACAATTACCTCATTAAACGACGAAACTGCTTGACGATGAAGTTTTTGTGATCGCTTTTGCGATCCCAAAACGATGTTTAGATAGGGGAATTTCACTTGACGCTTCGGGAACCGATTTTTCGCTAGACGATGATTTTTAAACAGCTGATCGGCGGCTCTAAAATGCCCCCCGCTGTGCAAAATGGCTTCCTGCTGTGTTTTAGGATGGATTCCTTGTTTTACAGGCACCAAAAATGGCCGCCCCTATGGAGGATCTTCGCTGGACGCTGAGGTATTTAGCCCATTGGAACGCATTTAACCGGTTTCAATGCATTTCAATGGGCTTTTTCGTTTCACTTGATGACCATTTCGCTTAACAGTGATTTCAACGGAATGAATTATCCTCGTCAAGCGAGGCACCACTATAGTTTAGGGGGAAGGAACTAGACCTCTTTACCAGAAAGTTGCAAATCCAGGATTCTATAGGACGAAGCCACAGCACTTAAGAGGGCATCAAATTGGTATTTACAGTATAGTGTGGAGATACCTTCACTACCCCAGGGAAGAAAAAAAAACCCAGCAAATTTAGGAAAGATTCCAACAAGCAGGTTAGATGCGTTTGGTGCCTCTTGAGGTGGCGCCAACCACCATTCTTACCAGAAAGTTGCAAATCCAGGATTCTATAGGACGAAGCCACAGCACTTAAGAGGGCATCAAATTGGTATTTACAGTATAGTGTGGAGATACCTTCACTACCCCAGGGAAGAAAAAAAAACCCAGCAAATTTAGGAAAGATTCCAACAAGCAGGTTAGATGCGTTTGGTGCCTCTTGAGGTGGCGCCAACCACCATTCTTGAACGAATGTAGGCTATGTTCACAAGGAGCTAATGATTGTTCCATGGAAGTGGAACTGGCGGGACAGATAGGCGGGGTATAAATCAAATTACCTTCACTACCCCAGGGAAGAAAAAAAAACCCAGCAAATTTAGGAAAGATTCCAACAAGCAGGTTAGATGCGTTTGGTGCCTCTTGAGGTGGCGCCAACCACCATTCTTGAACGAATGTAGGCTATGTTCACAAGGAGCTAATGATTGTTCCATGGAAGTGGAACTGGCGGGACAGATAGGCGGGGTATAAATCAAATAAATAAAATCTTTCACTCCCCCAGGGAAGAAGAAAAACCCCAGCAAATTTAGGAAAGATCCCAACAAGCAGGTTAAATGTGTTTGGCACCTCTGGAAGCGGTGCCAACCACCATTCCTGAACGAATGTAGGCTATGTTCACAAGGGGCAAATGATTGTTCCATGGAACAATATGTAACCCAGGCCACATGGACACAGGTAGTAAAAGTGGGCTTAGGTAGCTGGACTGAGGCAGAACTGATAGTTTTGCTGATTTTAAAATTGGGGACACAGGCTGGACTCCAGTTTGGCACCACATCACATAAAGTTACGCAGGCATAACTTGGTCAGGTATGATGCCCCGGCCACACCAGTTGCACAATCTGCTGTGTGGTTCCCATCACAACCAATTGCACAATTGGCCAGCAGAAGGGCTTGGGGGGGGGGAATAACACTTCTCGTAGCAACTGCAAGCATAATGTTGAGTCGATGCCCATTTAAGCGATGCAACAGGATTTCAGTAATTGGGCTCAAAAAAGGAGGGAGAAAGGCTGATTTGGCAGGGGTGGAAAGAAGGACAGTTCAGACATTTGGAAGCAACAGGGGGCTCATTCAGACAAGTGTCTAAAAAGTTAACAAACATGGTTTTCTTGCACTCTAACTCCCAAGCGCCCACTATCCCTGTGGCCAGTGAGCTTGCTAGGTGTGAGATTCGAGGAGCTGATTGTTGGAGAAAAGGAAATGTCTGCAAGCAGTCATGGCAGCTGCATTCCTGTCTCCCCTAAGAATAACTCCAGTTCCTTCATTATCATACAGCATCACAGCAACCAAGCCTTTCTGGCGCAATATGGACCATCAGAAGGAGGTTGCATCGCCACCTTCAGCAGGAATTTTGGTTATTTTAAAAGACAGGGCCACGTGCCATGTATTCTGATCTCAAGATCTCAATTTCCTTCTTTTACAGATGTTGCCAGAGTGTTGTGTTCTACCATACCTTTTACAATCCATGCAAAGCATATTTAGCTCTGAATTAAGCAGAACGGTAAATATTAACACGGAAAACTGTGCTCTTCATTAAATTTTTTTTTTCATCCTGAGTCATAGCCAATGATTTAGGGGGTGGGCTACAATCCCCTAAATTACATATTGGAACTACTTTCATGGTGGTCTTGCTGGCTGCAGGATTCTGGGAAGTATAGTCCAAAAAGCTACCATCAGCCACAGATCTTTTCTTCATGGCAACGGAGTCTGGGGTTCACCCTCTAGCCAACAGTGTCTTCTCTGCAGGGGCATTTTGTAGAAGAAGACAGATAGTGGAGAGCCACGTCGTCTCTCCCCAATCCTGACTTTTTGCAATGAACCTCTATGGCATTTCCAAGAGATGCTGAAGCAATCAAGAACACCGACGTGGAAAACGACTGAATTACTTTGGCAAAGAAGCAGCTTTTTCAATTACACCAAACTCTTCTTACTGGATTAAATTTGCGCTCAACCCTCGGCACTAACAAGACTTCTGCGGCCCATACTTCCAAATGCACCACAGGTCCTGTCATTGTGTATTGAATTAGGCATCTATTCTGAGGTTTCAGCAGGGACGCCTGCAATGGTTGGGTAACTTTTTTAAGAGGAAGGGCGATGGGACCATAGGTGGAGACATGTTCTCCAAGTAGCCTGCTGTTGATTTTGTAGGTATTTTGTTTCTCCCTGTCAAATTTTATTTATAAGAGAAACCTCAACAGCAACGCGCTTGGTGTTGTGGACTTGATTAAATGTGACCTGGGAAGATATTTTTAAAATAATCAAACAGCTTTCAAAATCCTTGCTGACTGCCCCACATAACCCAGGCAAAAGTGGAATTCAGCACTTTTCCAAGAGAGATTTACCTCCTCGCGGCCGACGGTTCCCTGGTACAAGCTTGTTAAGACCTGATTCTTTCCAATACATCTGCTTGATCCCCTCTGTTCCTATAAATGTCACACCCATAATCCCATCCTCATGGAATGTCACATAGCAGAGGTCTAAATTTCAAAACTGCCACACACGACAATTTTTTTAAAAAAAGATTCATCTGAAACTCTTGTATCAATATTAAACTGGTTTTAAGTTTCTAGAAAAGCAGAGAGATTCAGTGAGTGGTGTACCTGGCTGAGAAGCCCACAGGACAGAAGTGTGCTTCCAGGGAGAATAGAAATCATGGACAGCCCTGGGCAAGATAGTTAGTCCCAGAATGCTCAAAAAAATAAAAATAAAGGAGGGAGGCGTGATAAAACACTACCCACCCGCAAACAATCTCCATAAGCCAGAATCAAATTCATGGTGTGCAATTATTAATTATTACTCTTTTATTGACAAGTCATACTAGGAGAAAGCAAAGGTAAACTCTGAAAAGCTACATGGCTCTGATGACTACCATCTCTTCAGATCATTTCCACAAAGGACAATATGTCACAGTCCTATGGGGCTGCTTGTCCAGCAACCTGCATTTTGGGATGCTTTGATATACAGTGGTGTCTCGCTAGACAGTTACCCCACATGACAGATTTTTCGCTAGACATTGATTTTTTTGCGATCACTATAGCGATTCGCAAAACAGTGATTCCTATAGGGGAATTTCGCTGGACAATGTTTGGTCCCTGCTTTGCAAACCAATTTTCACTAGACGACGATTTTGACAGCTCCCTCCGCGCTCGCAAAACAGGTGTTTTTGGGACCTAAGCTTCGCAAGACAGCGATTTAAACAGCTGATTGGCGGTTCGCAATGCGGCTTTCCTATGGCCGATCTTCGCTAGACAACGACGATTCTTCCCCATTGGAACGTATTAAACAGTTTCAATGCATTCCAATGGGGAAATGCTTTTCGCTAGACAATGATTTCGCTAAACAGCGATTTCAGTGGAACCGATTATCATCGTCTAGTGAGGCACCACTGTATTTCCACAACATCACAACCCAAAGTTAATTCAGTTTGTAGTTTTGTTTACTACCACCACCACCACAAAACATGCATACAGTATGTTCAAGTCACAATAAAGGCCAACAACTCATATCCTTGTTTTACAAAAAATAGAACTGAAGCGAAGGTCGTAAGTTTGGCAAAGCCACACAACGAATCGGTGGAGGTTGACCCCAAACGTCTCCAAACGAAGATTCCCTTGCTATTCACAGTCCGTGCAATTAACTTTACAATTTGTTTTGGTCAAGTGTTGCAATGAGACAATTTGGTTTCCATAACAGAGATGCGGAATATTTAGATAAAAGAAATATAAGCCAACTGAGCGACTCATTTCCAGTTTGCTTTCTTATGCCTCTACGGATCTCAAAGAACTGGTAGTGATCAAAATTAATAGAGGGAATAGCTGTATACTTTTACTGCCTCCTGCCAACCTAGCGGTTTGAAAGCATATAAAAGAAATATAAGCCAACTGAGCGACTCATTTCCAGTTTGCTTTCTTATGCCTCTACGGATCTCAAAGAACTGGTAGTGATCAAAATTAACAGAGGGAATAGCTGTATACTTTTACTGCTGGAGAGTTTAGTGGTTTCAGCGTCGGGTTGTGGAGCCAGAGGTTGGGAGTTCCAGTTCCCCCACTGGGCCTCCTTGACAGGTGCTGGATCCGAGGATCCATAAGATCCCTTCCAGCTCTGCAGTTCGGAGGCTGGAGATTATGAACGGTGAAGTAGAGCTGATCAAGAATCATCAGCAGACT